ATCAAGCATGAAGATTATATTAACTAAAAGCACAATTAAAACATGATGAGGATGATATTAACTAAAAGCACAATTATAACATTGTGATAAAAGTTATTTGAACATATATATTATTAATTTCATGGATTTTCCATTTAGTATTTTCAGACCTCAATTGAACAGAGGAAACTGAACTGAGTATATGTTGTCCTTCCTTCCATAAAGTAGGATCCATTTACAGCATGGCTAGCTTGCATTAGATGATGCTTAAGGCCCTTTGCTGGTCTGAAGGTCTGACACCTTTCTGTGTCATGGAGAACATCCAGACCGAGGCCTGGCTTCTCTCAACCCTATTTAGAGGTAGTCAGATGCTTGGCACAGGAGACATGACAGTTGCCTTGAGGGGAAGAGAAACTTCAGTCAAGCATAACTTTGATTTGTAACCAGTAGGTGAGGTCCCTAGTGAAGCTCAGCTTTCAGAAATGGCTTCCCAGTCTGAGTCCATAAGGGCAGGTTGTTTCAGACTTGCAGCTTGAAATTCTTTGGCAGGGGAAATCTAAGTTCAAGGCAGGCCTGTCTGCATGTGGATGTATTAGTTGCAGTTTCATTCTCATGTAACTGGAGGAATAAAACTCAAGATATATTCATGTTAAAAACAAGAAACTGGAGCCAGGAGAATAGTTACCTGTATAGCTTATACCTTTGAAAAATGTGAATTTACCAAAAATACCAAGGAAGCACCTAACTCCATCTGGAGCCATTTGGTTGCATTTGAATTCTCAGAAGGGAAGGAGTGCTGACTTTTGGCTTTTTCATTTTTCCATCTCTTTCCTTGTCCCCAAAGTAAAACAAGTACAGATTTAATGAAAACAATGGCAACCTAATTTTATGTCTTATTCTATTATAGTTTCATTTCAGGCCTTTCCCCCCCCTATGAGAACCAGAGAAGGTTAGGTTTCCAGGAGGAACATTGGTAAAATGTTTTTTTATATGGGAGGTGGTGGTTTAGCATCTGCTAAGATTTGAGAAACGTTTGCATTTTTCATTTTTAGACTATTCTATAAGTAGGTTTAAGCACTACCTGCTCTTTTCTAAAGTTTTGACTGAATACTTTTACCATATGTCTGACCAAACTCTTTAACTTAAAATGCTTAGACATTGAGAAAGCCAATAAATGACAGGAGCATTACAAGGAAGTAATTTAACATTTGCCTTAACTAAAGGAGGTGATGTGTAGCTGTCTCTTTTTAAAAATTTTTATTTATATTTTATGTGTATGAGTGTTTTGCCTGCATTATGTAAGTGCACCACAGGTGTGCAGTGCCCACAGAGGGCATTGAATCTCCTGCAATTGGAGTTATGAACAATTGTGAGCTGCCATGTCAGTGCTGGGAACCAAATCTAGGTCCTGTGCAAGAGCAGCCAGTGCTCTTAACCACTGGAGCCATCTCTCCAGCTCCCAGCTGTCTCTTTTTTATACATGTACAGTAGTGTCCCCTTGTCCCCAAGGAACAGGTTCCAAGACATGAAACTACAGTTCTGAGTCCCATATGTACTGTCCTCCCACAAAGTCATGTAATATACAGTGAAGAATTCACAATAACCAATGATTGAACAGTTCTAACAGTTTACTCAGTAGTTATTTAAAGCTTATGAATAGTTTCTTTCTAGAAATTTCCATTTAATATTTTTGGATCATGATTATCCCTAGGTAACTGAAACTGTGGAAAGTAAAACCACAGAAACAGGAGGGAGGTCTACCATAGTCCTAAAACTTATATAAGTTGAATATTTATAGATTGATTGGTATTTAAAGTGAACTAAGGGATCTGTCTCACTGGGTCAGGTAAACCTGACTTGAGTGTTTGGTAATATAAATAATTCCTCATGTACTTGGCTTAGCACTTTGGGCACAACTATCCAGAAATGACACTGTTCTCCAGAAGTCTGGCATTTCAGGCTGGGGAAGGCTGCTGAGGACAGAGGACTTATGGAAGGCAGTGCTTATTCCAGGTTTTTGCCATAGTAAAGATGACATTCAGAGCTGGTCCTTTGGACTCTCCTAATTGCCTGGGAGATAAGGCAGACCTGAAATAGCCCACAGTGTCAGATCTTCAGATCTGAGCCCGGTTTGAGGAAATGGAGACCCTTTAGAGCAGGAACATAGTTCAGCCTCAGGTGGCAGCAGTGGCTCTCCCTAGGCAGGATGTATTCTGTTCTGATCAAATAACCACCATTACACAGTTCCCTTTCATTTTCTGGATTTCATTACAAGGGGATTATTGCGACGCACTTGAATTTGCCTACATTGGTCACCAGCAGGTTGCACTGTAGCAGCATTAAGCAGCAAAGTCTAGGGCTGTATAAACGAAGGAAAGCTGCAGACGTGCCACAGTTTCGCAGCCATTCTTTACCCAGCAGTGGAGTTCAGATAGCCACACTGGCTTCATTTTCTCTTTCATACCCTCAGTTGGACCTATGAGGGTAGAAACTAGACAATGAAATGTCTCCAGATTATGAAGAGATGCAGCTAAGGTAGTCTCTAGGAAGGCAGTAGGCGGGCTGTGATACCATCTTGTCACAAGGCACTGTCTTATCGCATATCTTGCTTAATTAGCCGGTGGCTTATGGTTCATTGGAGTTGAGACTTGTAGCTTCTTATGGCTGTGTTGCTGGTCTTAGTCCTTTAGATATTTAGGGATTCTTAGGTGGGTTGGAGTTACATTCAGTTCAGGAGAGAAGTGATAAGAACAAAGAGCAGCCAGAGGATGCCAGGACCTTGTATGCTACCTTGTATACTATCTCTTGTATTGTGTAAGTTCCAGATCCGCTTCCCTGCAGTAGCCAGAGGTTACCCTGGAGAATCACAGGGGAGACACTGTTGCTGTCATTGGTCCTTTAGTATGTTTCTAATCATCCATAGGGCAAACTATTTCCATCTGCATGTTCCTTAATCTGGTCAAAGATTGAGGGGAAATTCAGAACAAGGTTTTCTAACCAGGAATTTTGTTTTTGACATCGGTGTCTTCTGTATAAGGACACCTCAAACAGTGGACACTGATGAAAAAACAAAGATTCTTGCTCCTTCTTGCCCTCCTGTATCTGAGAAGGAGCAAGACAATTGTCCTTAGCCAGAGGCTTTTAAGTATAAGCAGCTCAACCCTCTAGGTAAGCGTACTCCAGTGATGAGGTAGGGTGGGGAGAGGTGTAGCCTGTAGCTTCTCACTGGCCCCCTTGCTGTATGTGTTCTGGAGTGGATGACATGGTGCAGGGTGAACAGAGTGTGATGCTGCACAGGCTATTTCAAGGGGAGAGCCAAGTGTACCTCTTCTTGGGCTGGCAATGGTCATGTTCTTACAGAAACAGGTTGGGATTTCACTGGCTTGGCTACGCCTGCTTGAATAATCCTCTAATCCCCTCAAATTGCAACACCCAAGCAAATGACAGTGCCCAAATGCTGCAGGATGCAGTACCTCCTTTGACAGCCAAAGGTAAGAAGTCATGTGTAAGATGAAGACGGCATAATCAGCAGAAATTTGGTGCACATAGTTGGATGTGCCTGGGTCAGAGAGGGCCTTCCAGAGAAGGTGACACTGGGGCAAACATACCAGTTATTGGCAGATACAAGCTCTGCCAGGATCTAGGGGAAGAAGGGTGCAGTCCAAGGAAACTGAAGGCAGGAGGGAGTGGACACCTCGAAGAAGATTGGTGGGTTGATACAACTGGAGCTGTCAGGGAGCAGAGGTGGGAGAGGAGGTCTTAGACGTACTTGGGCCTTCAGAAGGGAGGGTGGATTTTTCATGGTGCGATGGGAAGTCATTGGTAGTAGAATGGCCTCTGAGCAATGCTTTTAAAAGATCTATATGCTTGATGGGAGGATAGGTTGTGGAGGGAATCATTGAAGTACGAGACCAGCTAGAAGCCTGTCACTGTAATCTTAAGTGCCAAAATGAATGTTGCTTGCCTAGCAGAGAAGCATTTGCTCTCAAATTCAAGCTATTGCAGTATACTTAAGTGCATCATTTTGCTTTGAAGAGCTGCAAGTACCCAATGGTTTAGGGCACAGTCCAAAGACCAGGTGGAAAAAGGCTGATTTGATGATAGCCCTTATTTCCAAAGCTCAGACTCCACTAAGAAGGTATTTCCTCAAACTACTGACACAAAGCTAGTTTTCTGCTAGTTAATTCACCTCTGAAGTGGCTCAGTAGGAGAGGAGCTGCAGGGAGTGTTCTGGGGGTACCTATAAGAAAAGCCCCCCCCCCTTAGCATGAAGCATACCTGGTAACATAACAACTGACAGAAAGTGGATGAAAGGGAAGAAGACGCTGTGGGACACCGGCATGTGAACCTGTGACCTCATGCCCTTCATCAGTTCTCTTTTCCAGTGATAGTGAATCTCTCTCTTCAAGGATTCCTGGTACATTTTTCAGCTCTGCCTGTCCAGTTCCATCCTGATTTCCTGTACAGAATCTGTGCAGGAGGCTGTGTAAAGAGCATGTGATACAGAAAGGCCAGGCCTGAGACCTGCTCCCTCTTCTGTTGCTCACTAGGTACAGGCTTCTGAGGTGCTTCGTGTTCTCATCACAGCTGCTCGAGCATTTCCTGGTTTTACACTGCATTCTCTGACCTCCTTCTTTACAGTAGCTGACTGACAGCCCTTTGATATCCCAAGACTGTTCTTTCCCTCATGGTGCTCTTGGCCTTGAACTGTGGCACACCTCAGATGTGTCCAAGAATACCTCACCCTTGGCTGTTTTGTGCGTTTATAGTACTGATTCTGTATTCTTCTTTGACCTCTTGTGTATAGGCATACCATACAGAAATGCATTTTTAATTTTCAGTATCCTGTGTTTACCAAAGAGGCTCTTGAGCTGAGCTTCCTTCTCTCACTGCTTTGAAACCTGGCTCTTGACCTGGATTCTTGTATTTTAGCTCTCTGTTTTGGTAATTTTAAAAGCATATGCATTTCAGCACTATGCCAAGAGTAAAGATGAAAGGATTCATCTGTCATAATAGAACATCCTGGTTGTTATATAACTTTCCTGCTTTGTGGTTCTGAGAGCTCTCATTTTCATGCAGCTGTGTTTCAGAAGGTGGGACTAAGCCTGTCTTCACTTCAGCCTGCCACTAAGGGTATTTCAAGCCAGGACAGAGACCTATTTGATCTTCTTCAGTATTATTCTTAAATGGGTATAATTATTGACTAGTAACTACTAGTCCTTCCCCAACTTGTATACCACTTAATTGTTCTCACTTTATTTCAGGTTTGCCTGTAGAGGTAGCTGACCACACTTTCCTTAGAGGCCTTGGGGGCAGGACAGAGGACCCATTTCTCTGGGTACCTGTGAGCACTCCTTGTTTCTCTTTCCTATTTGAGAGGTATTTCTTGTTGGACATCCTGTCTTGGATTCAAAAGAACTTATTTTAGTTCAAAACCAAACACAGCAGTGGTCTCAGAGGAAAACAAACCCTGCTTTTAACTGTTTTGTAGCATTTACCGCATTACCTGCAGTATAGCATTTGTCTTCATGGTGCATTGTGTTGTACTGTATTCTATTTGTACTTATTATATATATAAATGGTATTGTATCTATATCCATCTCCAACCATCTTTTCTTAGAACCACCAATGAAAACTGAATGTATATATGTCCAAAACTGAACTCATTTCCTGTTCTCACAAACTTGCTTCTACCTTACCACTTCTGATCTGGGTCAAGGGCCTCACCATGTCTCCATTCACATCTTCCCTTTCATCTAGAGTCTACATGGTATGTTGATTTTACTAAGAGCTCTTGAATCTGTCCTTCCTCCCTCCTCAGTTCATAGCTTAGGTCACGTGGCAGTCCCCCTTCTGGCTGTTTGGGTCTAGGGGTCTTCATCCTGTTGTCCTGCCTATGGACTTCACAGAGCCTTGCTATTGGTGCCTTATGCAGCCCACACCTTACTAGACTGTTCAGGTAACCCTATTTGAATGTCATCAGTTTCCTGCAGTGACTCATATCTCATATTTACTTAGTGTCTTTTTGTGCTCTGCTTTCAGGGTCAAGTATACCTTACTTGTGGAGAAGCAGTCACTATTGACCTCTTCAGCTGTAGGGATTAAGATGTCTCCTTGTATCCTTCACTCCATCCTTTTCCCTCATCAGTGTGACAGATAATCCTGGCGCCTGCCACTCCTATGACTTCTCTTATCTGCAGTTTTGTTCACATTTGCCACCCCTTCGGCCCTGATTCTGTCTCATTGCCTCTAACTTCTTCTCTAGTCTTGTACTCACATTTCTTCTTTTCTAGGAAACTTCCCTTAACTCCTGCCATCTACTTCAGGGCCAAGGACATGCTGTTCTTTGTGCATGGACAGTGCTCTCTGTGTGACCTAAGAGTATTGATAATGGGGTGCTGGAGAGATGGCCTAGCGGTAAAGAACACTGACTGTTCTTGCAGAAGACCCGGGTTCGAATCCCAGCACTCACATGACAGCTAACAACTGTCTGTAACCCCAGTTCCAGGAGATCTGACAAGGACATTGTACTTAACCTACATGTAGGCAATATACACATACACATAAAATAAAAATAATAAAATATATTTTTTTTAAAAAAGAGTATTGATAGCCGGGCGTGGTGGTGCATGCCTGTAGTCCCAGCACTTGGGAGGCAGAGGCAGGTGGATCTGTGTGAGTTCAAGGCCAGCCTGGTCTACATAGTGAGTTCCAGGCCAGCTGGGGCTACAGGGAGACGCTGCTTCAAAAAGACAAAAAACAAAACAAAACAAAAAAAGAGTATTGATAATGGACTGTGATATTTTCCATCTCAAGCTAGGTTGGAAAGAATGAAGGACTGTCATCACCATGTAGAAGAATTTATGGTTATAAAATATTAAAAATGGCTACTGTATCCCTTTGAATACATTTTTCAAAGATGATTCTGGACGATTAAGTAATTAGGAAATTATTCTTCTCCCTCAGCTCCAAGATGTAAATCTTTGAAGGAAATGGATGTAATTAAAACTTCTGTGTCAGGCTGTTACTGCTACAATCAAAATTCCCATATAGAGTGGACATATATTTGGTCAACTGTGCAGGTAAGGACCTGCTTTTATATCATGTCTTAGGGGTTGGGAATTAAGATGGAAAGAAACTTTAGGAAGGAAAAGTATTCTTTGTATGGTTTATTAGAATGAAAGCTGACGAGAGGGGCACACAGTGTCTCAAGAAGGAGTGTGGGAGAGGATGGTATTCCTCCTCCTCCTACCCAGGTTCTCCCCAGACCATTCCGAATGAATTAACCATCTAAGTGAACACAGACAGGCAGTAATTAAAAAGAGTGATCAGAATGGTCCTCATTGAGAATGTGACATTTAAGAAAGATTTCAATGAAGTGAATTACCCAAAAGGATATCTGGGGAAAGTGTTCTAGGCTGAGGGGAAAGTTGGAACATCATATCAGGAGGGACATGATGTTGGTTTATCATTGCTAATGATATACACTGGTTCAATTGCTTAATTGAAGCAGCATCTGTCAGGTCCTTCCACTTTAAAATTACTATCTTTCTTCATCAATGAGCAAGTATCTTGAGATCATTTGAGACTGTGAATGCTATTCCTCATTAAACTTCTACCTGCAACTTTTATTCATTGTTGTTGCTTGTCTGAACCAATTATCGCCATGATGTTTATCAAATAGTGATTTTCTAATTCTTTATTTCTTCTACAGTCTTTAGCATTCTACTGTATAGAAGGGATTTTCCTGCTCGTATTTATTAGTTTATCCATATAGTCTTGTGAGTTCCTAGTTCATCCAGTGAACTGTAATTCATTCCTTTCATTACTTATTTTGATACTCATTGTTAATAAATTTGGTCAGTAGGAGTCCCTTCAGACTAGCTGCTGTGTCCTTTTAGCTCATGCCTGTCATATTTGATTCTTTAGCAAATACGATGTTCAGCCTCATGTTGTAGTTTCCTGAGCATTTTTCCATGGAATACTTGGGGTTTTGTGTACTGCTGGAATATCCTTGTCACATACACATGCACAAACACGCACACTCAGGCCCCTTTGTGTGCATCCATTTCTATCTTTCTGTCTTTTTAAAACCAGGAGTTCAGGACCACAGGGTTCATTCTAGCTTCTAAGTTCCATATTTGTATCTCTGAAAATGAAAAACCTGGTTTCCATCATCCTAAATACATTTCTTTGTCTAATCTGAAATATATGGAAAGTAATTTCAGTATTACTAAGTCATACCATTGTAAGAAACCTAGTAATAGAAACTCAACGTTTGTTTAGAGTGGTTTTTTTAACTTTTTTTTTTTTTTTTTTTTTTCCTGGTTTCCTAAATACATTTCTTTGTCTAATCTGAAATATATGGAAAGTAATTTCAGTATTACTAAGTCATACCATTGTAAGAAACCTAGTAATAGAAACTCAACGTTTGTTTAGAGTGGTTTTTTTAATTTTTAACT